TGGACCATGCGCCCTATGGTTGTGTACTGGGCTGCCAGATCCGCCCGGGCAGCCGGCGTGTCTGGAACAAAGTAGGGGACCTAAATGGAGAAAGGGAAAGCGGCACATGGCAGCCATGGGGAAGGAGGTCGTGGGTACGTCAGGGTGGCCTTCACCAGCTCTCGCCCTTAACGCTGACGGCAGTGACTGAGGTGGGGGCCAGCTTGCAGCCGCCCTGGCTCCAGCGGAGGCTGGTGTCGCATGCAGCCCCCATATGGCCCCGCGCAGCCCCATGTCGCCCCATGCAGCCCCATATAGACCCATGCAGCCTCACAGGCTCCCACCTGCACTTGCTCTGGGCGGTAGAGCTGTGGTTTCCAGTCCGGGATCCAGCCCATGCCACTTTCTCCGTTGCCGAATTTCTCACAAAAGGCCCCGTATTGGGGCTGGGAGTGCCCACAGCGGTGGGGGTCGTGGAAGGCGACATAGAGGAAGAAAGGCCTAGAGATGGAGAGGGTGGAGGTGGGGTGGTGTAGCAAAGGGCTGCCCACGTCCTCTGAGAACAACCCTGGGCTGTGCAGGGGTGAGCTGGTGTCAGCAGGAGGACTCCCACCTAATCTGGGCTTCTGAATATGGGGTGACCCAGAGACAAGGTGTCCCTTCCTAGTTGTGACCAACTGGGACATGGAGACGTCTTCAGTGAGGCCGGTTTCCCTCTCCGCTCCCATGCCCCCTCGCAACCTGCCCCGGGGACACAGGGTCCGTCTCACCTCTCATCCTGGCTCTGCAGAAACTGCCGGACGAGCGCTTTGATTCGAGTGATGTTTCTCCCAACCTGCAAGACCGAACTGTTCTCCTCTGTGTAGGCAAAGTCGAAGGGGTAGACAGCCTCGGGCCCAACATGCTTCTTCCCAATTATCCCTGCAAGAACGCAGACATGCGTTGTGTCAGGAGCAGTGGGGAGCAGGGGCTAGGACGCTGGCTGCTGCTGCTGTCTCCTCCCTGGGGGATGATGCAGATCATTTGCTCCAGCACCAACTGTGCTCAGCAAACGCTGGTGAAAGTGGAAGATGCTGCTGGCTTCTCCAGTCATTTCTGCCAGCTGCAGAGGCAATTCCACATCTGCTTGGAAAACGGGACCCACCCAGGGACCACACTGCCCCAGGTCACAGGCGTGGGTAAGCACTAGAGCAGCTGAGCAGCTGAGGTGGAAGTTTGGGTCAAGCATGAGCCTTGTGTGAACCTGGGAACCGGGAAGGAGCAGGATGAGGAACAGAAGTGAAAGTAAGGTGTAATGAGGATGGTAGAGGAGCAGCGGTGGGGGGAAGCGAAGCAAAACCCAGGTGTCAGCACAGAGCATGGGCATGGGTCCAGTCGGTGCTGTCTAGCTTGCAGGTGGGTTAGCCGTCAAGCTCTCTCAGCCGATGGAGTTCGGTGCACAGAGGGGGGGCGTTCCCTGCCCGTGCCACTTGCCCTGGGCTCCCCTACCTGTTCGGACGTGTGCTTGGCTGAGCAGCCGGGGCAGGCTCCGCACGCCGTCAAAGGAGTTGAAGTGGTGCACGTCCTGGTGCAGCCCGTACATCCCATTCTGATGCTGCAGGCGGGGGGAGACAACACGGTTGGACGATGCCTGCCAGCCTGGCCCCAAAACAAGTCCAGCCGTGCACCAAAGTGTGTGTGCATGGGAAGCAGGTCCCAGGGGGCAGGGGAGAGAGTGGGTCAGTGGGAATGGGGATATTGCCAGGTCCTGTGACCATGCTGTAAGCACACCCGCTCTGGTCATCCCTGAGTGCCCACCGCAGACTGGCAGCCCCCACCCTGGCACGTGCGGGTGCCCCTACCTGGGGTAAGCCGGTCAGGATGCTGGCCCGGCTGGGGGAACAGCTGCTGACAGAGGTGAAGGCGTTCTGGAAGACCACACTGCGCTGGGCCAGCGCGTCCAGGTTGGGCGTCTGGATGGCCGAGTTGTTGTAAGCGCCGCTCTCAAAGCCACCGTCATCTGCTGCAGCAGGAGGGGTGCGGGGTGAGCCCTGCAGCACCAGGCCTGACCCCCGGTGTGTCCCTAACCGTGCGGGGGGACAAAGCCCAGGGGACACTAATGACGCCGGGCTGGGGCGTGATGCTGTGGTGACCATCCCAGCAGAGGGGATGCAGCGGGACCCCCGGGGCCGTCCCTCCCCCGTCCACGGGACGCCCTGAGCGCCGAGCCCCGGGC